CGTATTCTCGGCATCGTCCTCTTCTTTAGACTCCCCCGAGTCATCGGAGTCCTCCTCAGGAAAGGCCAACCTCCGAGCTCTGTTCTCCTCCGCCCTGGCGACTTCAATCTCGGCCCCAATGTCGAAGACCTGAGCTTTGACCCCTTTGAGAGCCTCTCTCCGAGCCTGCCACTTTGCATGTTCGACCATGCCCACGGCTTTGGCTTGATTAACTTCAACATCGAAGCCTGTAAACAAAAGGAGAAACATTAGAATTACCTACAACTCTGTGTAAAAGAAGCGGTGAAAATGTCATCAGAAGTTACACGATTCAAAGCATGTTGGGCCTCGTTGAAAAGACAGGCGGGCCCTACCGCATTCATCACTGATTGATCTTCTCCGGTCACCAAGGACCGAAGGTAACTGGAAATTCCCACAGGGGAAGAAAAAATTCGGGTATCCTCGATAAAGTCGGGGACTGTAAAGACGCATAAGATGATCGAGCATTACATACGTCATGGTCGGGATCGATAAAAACATTAGTGTATATCTGATCGAGCTGCTGGGAAATCATATCGTTTCTCACCACATCCTTTTTCAAGAAACGAGGGGACTATCTGTATACGGTCAAAATAGATTTCGGCCTTCCTACGTTCGATCGAGTTCGAGTGTTAAAAAGTCGGAATGAGATTTTGGGAGTGAGCTCTGAGGTCGATACTAACGAACCTCGAGCCCGAAGGTCACTCGAGGAGGCGGCTCGATAATCCTATCGAGCCCGTGACCGAATCGATCCTCAAGGCACTGCTTCGAGGTCGGAAATGCGCGACGCCCATCTCGAAGGTCGAACTCGATCCAAGACCGAAGGGCCCGACCAAGTAACGAGTTCGAGCTAGTATCGAGCTCACAGACAAGAGCCGTTGCAACCGCACCAAGAGAGAAAATCTTGGCAGGAATCAAGGAAGAGACAAGTCATCATGGGCCTTCCACTATATGTTTTATTTTATTATTTTTTTGTAATCACCCTCTTCTATAAAAGGGAGAATTCTTGTAAGCTAAAAGAGAAAAACAAAAGGAAGATCACTTCTTATATTGACAGTTATCCCCTTGTGCTCGTTTTAATTATTCATTCTTTTCGCTTATTATTTTCATCCTCACAGTCAACAATACACATATTTCCATTTCTCTACGTGATTTATATCGAATTGCATCGCATATCCTTAGAACCATACACAAATCTAACGTTATCCGATTTTTTCGGTAAACACAACCACCTGGTATACTGTCTAAATAGCAAGCATACCATACTTTCCGCTACCAAAACTGGGTTAAAAAAAAGAGTTAAACTTAATATGCTAACAGCGCAAATAACTTTTTCACATTCAGCTCACCTATTGTGAAAGGTGAAGTCATCATTGTTATGTAGCGTATTGTATCGTATCGTATCGTTTTGATATATACAATGTCTGGATATATTGTATTGTTTGCTGTCGTTTCATGGTATCATGCACCAACAATATTGTTTACCCTTAAAATCGGATAACAATTAGATTTGTAAATGGTTTTAAGGATATGTGATTTCACTTGACACAAATTGAGAAATATGAAAATTGAAGTTAGAAATTAACTGTAAAATAAGGCAAACCAATATATCATACAGCTTTGGACCTTGAGCTAGGTTTCCCTCGCACCAACTAAGTGTATTATTGAAGAGTAAGAACTGAACTACTGAATAAGAGAACTTAAGAGAGAAAACGTAATATATTGCTTTGTTATGCGTGAATCTGTGCTTACAAAATGATTGAAACCCCCTTTATATAGTAGATGAGTTCTACATATGGTACAATTCTAAATACAGAAGGAAATCTCTTGATTGGCTAATCAACCGGTCTTGACTTGATACATGCCGAGATCTCCGCCACAATCCTCGCCCGGTCACGGATTCCTCGGCTTTCTGTTATTCGACTTAGCAGGCTTCCTTCGATCTCGCTAGATCTCTATCCTTCTCGGTCTCGACCTTAGCTGGTCTCGATCTCGATCAATCCCTGAATCACGAACTAGACAATATTTATTCATGTAACGATCCAATATAATTTGGGATTGAACCTCGATCTGCCATCCCGGTCTCGATTAACCATACAAAATCGGGCCCGATTTTGACCGTATACAAATATAAAGAATAAACTTGTTATATTATAAAAAAAAATAAGGTACAAGGTAGAATTATTATATAAAAAGGTAGGATAAAAGATTAAATATGATTATTTAATAATAAAGGAAGGGCAAGATGAGAGAAAAAATATAAGATAATGACGCAACCACACCAAATCGGTTGTTCCATAAAGTGACACTTTTCGTCGTTATGTAACGACAGATTTAACGATACGATACAATAAAATTTAAGTAACAATCAAAACAAACATTATATTTTAAGTAACAATATAATACAATACAACAAGTAACAACCATACAAACAAGTTGTAAGACAGATTACTCGTTATAACCAGATGAAATACATTAATTGTGTTATAATCCTTTGAAAATGTATAAAAGTTAAATAAAAAAAGAATCCTTCAAATGGAAATTAATGCCAATTAACAATGGAAATTTTTATCTTAAAGTAGCAGGAGTACTTATTAGTTTGGATTTCTTGAAGATGTGAAAGTACCTGAAAGATATGCTAGAAAACCAAGAACTAAGGTTGCGCACTTGGCCATTGTGAATTTCTTGAATTCAGAAACCAAACTGTTTCCAGACTCTATTCGATTTGTTTACTTTGGGAGAATATGCTAACTTTTGGGATAAAAAAGGAGAAGCCATGTTCTGTACTTTAAAGTTGCTCCCATTTAATAATCACTTTATATTTTCAGTGTCCATTTGCGGTGACTTGTTACTTAATTACTTACGAAAATCATATTAATTCCATTTTCCCACATTTTTAGTAGGCTACATTTCTAACTTTAAATCTCTAAGTCCTTGAAGATTTTGGGATAAGAATGAGATTAAATGCAATTTTCTTCACAGAAAGAAGAGGATACGAGGAACTCAGCACAAGGTTCTCTATCTTCTGTTTTAAAAGGAGGAACTTTATTTATGTTACAAAAGTTACATTGCACTTGAGAAGATATTAGAAGACGCCATTAACGCTATGCCACAGACGACGCCCATTTATTTTAAGTACGCAGTTAGTACATCTACTCTTGGACCCATTTTCGTATTTACTCACAAAGCTCTCACTTCATTCTTGCTGCCTTGTGCTAAGGGGGCGGATTTACCTTAGGCCAAAGGTGCCTCGTGCTGTCTACAACTTAGAAAACGAAGTCCAAACTTGAAGAAACATATTGTCGTTCCCTTGTTGCTTCTTCCCTCATCTGTTGCTGTCGCTGCTCTGGTCCTGCCACAAAATAGGACTGATCTTGCTTCTGCAAGATTTCTTCCACCTCCCTTGCTGGCATGTTGAATGACACTTCTTTTGCTTCTCTGTCTATATTTCTCCATATGCTTTGTCGACCTTAAATTTCAAACCAGCCAAGAATATAAAAAAGAGAGTTTAATTCTGTACAATGATAGTGTAAATAATTACACGTAATTGTTTAGAGAAAGTGGAATTAGTACCATGAAAAATAAGATGTTCCAACTATGTCAAGTAATAAAGAAATGAGGAAAGTAATACCATACCTGCAAGGAAGTTCATTCTGTTGTTATGAGCATTGAATCCAATACCAACCATTCTGAGATCTGAATCCCCGGTGGCTACAACGGTAATAGGATGGCCTGCACGAATTATCAGAACATCACCAACTGATAGAGAACCTTGGACTTTCTGGTAGTGGCGCCCCTGTCTCTGGCTTTGGCTACCAAGATGAGGGCATGCCATTTCAAAGCGCCCATTTCCTTCTACAACCATGACAAACCATGTTGTCCTTGTACAGTAGACTGGTAATAACATTCCACCCTGCAAAATTAATTCTAGAACGTTCAAAAGTAAGGTTCGGCTATATAAATCTTCATCGTCCATATCGCTCCATTCAGTATATGTCCATGGGATGTTAGTGTTAGGAAGCAAAATCCAATGTGAGGTCATCTCTGAAATTATTTAAATTGAAAAGTCGCTTACTTGGTTTATGTTCATGATACCAGCAGCAGCATCCAAATCCCTCAACTGTTCGAATCTCTCTGGGGTTGCTTCAAAGTACTGTCCAAATCTGTTTCCAAGTAATGGGCGTTCATTCAATAGATTGAAAGGACCTCTAGTTTGTTGCTTAGTGGAGCGTGAAGCGTGTTCGCTTATTGCTCTAATTTGCTCTTCAGAGGCTTTGACAAATATTCCCTTTCTTTGTTGTCCAAATAGCCCCTCTATCGTGTCCCTTGGGATCTAATGAATTATAAGAGCAAATACAATTTACAAGTAATTAAGATTGCAAGTAACGTGAATCAAAACACTGAATTAAAGAGGAGTAATTCTTTTGCTGAATTAAGCAGCAGCTGGCTTACATTGAAAGCAGTCTCCAGAATCTCACTGCTGAAAGCTCTGTAGAAGGATTCTGGATTTTCACCTCCACCACTAAAATATTCCTGAATTCAGATATTATATTAGTATCCAAAAACATCTTACACTACCATGTCCCAAATTGTCGGTATTTTGTATGAAGTCTCATTTGACCAAATTTGCAGGTCAAGAATAGAAATATTAAACAATTATAAAAATATTCCCTCCCAAATTTAAAAGGTTGAATAAAATAATTTCCCAGGGGAGAGACAAAATTTTGGGGCCTATTATCTTCAATTCTACTCCCTCCGATCCAAAAGAATGACACTCTTTCTTTATTAGATCCTTTCCAAAAAAGGAACACATTTCAAAATTTAAACAAATTTAATTTAAATTTCTATTCTACCGTTCGTTCATACAAGCTTATAATCACACGAATATTATGATATATTTAAAATTACAAATTATAAAAAAAAACAATTATTTATATTATGACTTAATACCATATATTTCAAAAATCTTCATCTATGTAATGACCAACGAACTGGGGCTTGGCCCACGAAACTAATTAAGTTAATAAGACAAATATTATAACAAAGTAACAAACAAACAAAAAGGGAAAAAGAAAGAAAGAGAAAGAGGCGGTGAGAGAGGGAACAAAAGAGGCGGTCTATGAAGGTTTATAAAAGAAGAAGAAAAACCAGCTTTGCTGGTTTCATCGTGAAGTTGGCAGCAACTCTCCAAGAAAAAGAAAAAGAAAAAGAAGAGAGAGAATATTAAGGAAAGAATAGCAAGAACCAGAAACCTAGAAGCAAAATCTAAGGCTAACGCTCCCGGCAAACACCTAAATTCCTTACTCTGTTATTGCTCCTTCATTCAGGTGTGTATGAAAAAAATATTTACCCATCAATCGATCTCTTCTTTTTCTAGGAGTAATACGTAATAGCTGAAACTTACAAAGTCAATTATGAAAATGGGGAAACTTCAACTTTGGGGCAAAGTAATCGGGTAGCAAATTATCAGGAAGCAAAGAAGAGAAAAGATATTCTTTTCCAGAATAGAATAAAGACCGCAAGTCCTTTTGAAGATGGCTAGGAATAAATAAATTGATGTACACACCAGCCGAATATAAACTTTTCCGAGTATGAAGCACAATTTTTATAACCTGCTATTAAAGAATGTTGAAATTATTTTTAGAACAAAAATTTAGGTAGGAATGCTAGAGTTGCCACTCAAACTATTTGTACAGAGAAGTGACTTGGTGCAATAGTTGAAGTGGGAATCAGAAATTATAAGTTTTTATCACTAGAAATATGTAATTTCATGAGTTTAAGAATAATTAATCAAACCTTGTATTGTATTTTAGATAATGATATTTGACGACACGATTATCGGAAGCAACTTGAAGTTGTTCGGCAATAGTATTGCGAGTGATGACTCTTCCATAGTTGATTTTCAACTATAGCATATTTGAAACTAGTTTCTTGCATCAAAAATATTTGACAAAAGCTTATTTACTTGCATATGGACAAGCAATAGTATAATTCGGTATGTTGATATATGCTAAATGACGCTTTAATACATGATGTCTTTTACAATTAATATGCTTTGGAGTTAGTTTATTTATGATTTCTTCTCCTTATTTTGGATTTAATTCTTGATAGAAGAAGTGTAAAAATATACTGTGCTATAAAGGAAATGGCTTTGAGAATCAACTTGGCCAGATCGCCGTTATCTAAAGACCTGGTGCACCTGGTATGATAGACCGGTGTATATCACACTTATGCGCTCTAGAAGGGAACCTAGCTGACGGGGTTGTCAGACGGCCATGGTAGACCCATGGTGACTCTAGCTTAAGTATCTCTCATTTTAAAGAGATTATAGAAAAATATAATTATGAGCATGTTTTCACTCCCTTGATTTATCATTTCATACATGAATTATTGTGTTGGGTTAATAAACTATTGTTGAAGATCTTATGAGATACATGATTTCTGATATATGCTTGTTCCAAATAATTACTATGGTTGACATTATTACTCTCAATCGGTGCCGTGTTTCTTTTTTTTTTTTCCATACCACAGATAATATAGCTGAAGCTGACATTTCGACTCAGGTATAGTGATTGACAGAGCTGACCATGGATCCCGTAAGCCTCGCACTTGCTTCGCGTGGGTTGTCATTTTGCTTAGACCTTTTGGCATGTTGTTGGTTTAAATCCTAGAGTTCTGCTCCTTAAGTCGGTCTTGGACTTATATTTTGGCTTGCGTAGTAATAGAGTAGCTTGAGACGTGTAAAGTTGATGTTGAATCATGTGGCTTTGTGTTGTTGATATTTATTTTAGACTTTGTACTTTACTGTTATTGTAGTTATGGTGTGTCGAGTTTGGGTTTGCTGACACGTTTAAAGTTTTGGATTGCTACCGGTACAGAGGAGACTCTTGCCGGATTTTTGACATGAAACAGAAAGAGTTAGTGGTCTTAGACCCACTTAGCGCCGGTCATGACCCTCGCCAGGTCGTGACAATCTACCTCTAAACTCCGTGTTAGATCAAATTAAGCCATATCAATTGAAATAGGAGGGACTATGGTTACCTGAAATTGGCCAGGAATATGAACGGTCTTGGCTAGCACGTAAACAAAGAACCTTTCATTGTTATTCCTGTTGATCATGTAGATTGTTGAACCAGCATTCACTCTGATTACATCTCCATTTTCCAAGTTGAAGGAGTTCTTCTCTTCTTGTTCCGCTATACTTATTGTTCCTCTTCCTGAAAAGAAAGAAAAACAATTACTCCGTACGTAGTAATTCACAGAGTTCGCCTAGTCGTTTTAGTATGAACCATGAGCAAATATACAAGCAAAAGGGACTTACCTCTAACAACAAAAAGTATGATTTCAGCATCACAGTGATGAGGAAACATGAAAGACAGAGGTTCAAATTCAAGGACTGCAACTCCATACTTCTCTAGTCCTCCAAGAAGTTCAGATCTTTCAGTGAATTTCTCAAGGACTCGAAATTCACCATGTTTTGATTTAAATCGAGATCTGAACCTCTGTGACTCAAATAAGTAGGGATTGTTCTCTTCTTCATCACATTGAGAAGAAAGAAAGATTGAGAGGATCAAGAAGAAGAGAAATAAGAGCTTTGGTTTAGTGAAAATTGCCATAGTTATGAATTTTGAACTGTGATGGAAGCTCATTCGGAAGTTTTGATGAAGAGATCTTTGATTTAGCGGGGGAATTTTTGATGAGTTTGAAACTCTGCAAGCATGCAGGTTGACAAGTGTTGAATTCAACACTACCGAGGAGAGGTGTTAACTGTGATAAGGCTGGTCCATGTTACGTGGGGTACAGTGTAAGGACAAATTTGTAAGATTTATAGCATATTTGACCAAGTTTTTTTTTGAGATAAAAGTATTTTTTTTCGTCAAAAGTTTATTTTTCTTCTTAAAATTAAGGTGTTTACAGCAACAACAGCAACAACATATCCAATATTATCCTACACCGTAGAATTTGGGGAGGGTAGTGTGTGCGCAGACTTTACCCATACCTTGTGAGGATAGAGAGGGTGTTTCCAATAGACCCTCGGCTCAGGAAAGTATAAGCACCACATTAAAAAAAATATAGATAAGAAGGGACAGTACCAAAAAATCATATAAAAATAGAATAAAAATAACAATACAGTAATGTGATAACAATGGAAGAAAACAATGGTTAGTCATAAAAACCTACTACCAACAGAAAGCAAGACTGCGTGCCAATACTACTGTTATGAACACTCTAGACTACCTACTCTACTACCCTAATCATCGACCTCCATACCTTCTTATCAAGGGTCATGTCCTCGGTCAGCTGAAGCTACGTCATGTTTTGCCTAATCACCTTTCCCCACCTTTTCTTTGGCCTACCTCTACCTCTCTGTAGGCCCTCCAATGTCAACCTCTCACACCTCCTAACCGGGGCGTCTGTGCTCCTCCTCACATGACCAAATCACCTAAGCCACGCTTCCCGTATCTTGTCCTCAATAGGGGCCACACCTACCTTGTCGTGATTAACCTCATTTTTTATCCTATCTAACCTGGTGTGACCGCACATCCATCTCAACATCCTCATCTATGCTACCTTCATCTTCTGGACATAAGCGATCTTGACTGGCCAACACTCAACCCCATAAAATATTGTTGGTCTAACCACCACTCTGTAGAACTTACCCTTATATTTCGGTGGCACCTTCTTGTCACACAAAACACCGGAAGCGAGTCTCCATTTCATCCATCCCTCCCCAATATGATGTGTGACATCTTCATCAATCTCCCCATCTCCCTGAATAATAGACCCAATGTACTTAAAACTCCCTCTCCTAGGGATGACCTGCGAGTCCAGCCTCACTTCCCTTTCCTCTCCTTGAGTCTCGCCACTGAACTTACACTCCAAGTATTCTGTCTTGGTTTTGCTCAACTTGAAACTTTTAGATTCTAAGGTCTGCCTCCATACCTCTAATTGCGCGTTCACACCGTCTCGCGACTCGTCAATAAATACAATATCATCTGCAAATAGCATGCACTACGGCACTTCCCCTTGGATTTGGCGCGTCAGTACGTCCATCACCATAGCAAACAAAAAAGGGCTGAGTGTCGACCCCTGATGCAACCCCATCATAACCGGAAAATGGTCTGAATCCCCACCCACCGTCCTCACTCGGGTCTTTACTCCATCATACATGTCCTTAATCAACCTAAGGTAGGCAACAGGAACACCTCTAGCCTCCAAACATCTCCATAAAACCTCCATCGGGACTTTATCGTACGTATTTTCTAAGTCGATGAACACCATATGCAAGTCTTTCTTTCTCTCCCTATACTGCTCCATCAATCTCCTAACAAGGTGGATGGTTTCTGTAGTCGAACGCCCCCGGCATAAACCCAAACTGGTTCTCGAAAATAGACACACTCCTCCTCGCCCTCAGCTCTACCACTCTCTCTCAGACTTTCACAGTATGGCTAAGCAGCTTGATACCCCAAAAGTTATTGCAATTTTAGATATCACCCTTATTCTTGTATACAGGAACCATCGTGCTCCACCTTCACTCTTCTGGCATCTTGTTCGTTCTAAAGTTTGAACAAGTTTTTTTGAAGCAAACGTGTGTTTTTTTGTCAAAAGTATTTTTTTTTAATTAAGGTGTTTGACAAAGCTTTTGAAAGGAAAGAGTGCTTTTGAGAAGAAGCAAAAGCAGTTTTTGAGAAGCAGAAGAAAGTAGTTTCTCTCCAAAAAGTACTTTTTTGAAAAACACTTTAAAAAAAATACATTTATAAGCACTTTTTAAAAGTTTGGCTATATATTAATTGCTATTCAAAAGTGCTTTTCAAACTAAGTAGCCAAACACAAATTGTTTCTCACCAAAAGTATTTTTTTTAAAAACACTTCTCAAAATAAGCTAATTTTAGAGGCTTGGCCAAATAGGCTATTAACCTATTGACATAATTGGATACATGTGGCGAGTAAATAAATAGTAGTATTTAATCCGTCTCAATTTAGGTAATATTTTTTTAATGTTATATTTTTTTATTTAAAATAATATTTTTCTTTAATGAATGAGTTTGCGGTCACACAAATACTTATATAGTACTCCCTCCTTTTCAATTTAGATGGGCTAGTTTGACTCGACACGAAATTTAAGAAATAAAAAGACTTTTGAAACTTGTGGTCTTAAAAGTTTAAGGGGTTTTTTGTGAGGTCATGACATTTGTGTGATTATAAAAGTTTCTCATTAAGGGTAAAATGGGTAAAATGAAGAATTTAAAGTTGAATTATTTTCAAATTTAGAAATGTGTCATTTATTTTGAAATAGACTAAAAACGAAAGTAACTCATCTAATTTGAAACGGAGGGAGTAATTTTTTTAGACCATAATATCTAAAGTTTTTTTTTTTCCTTTTCAAACTCCTGAGATTGAAATTGGGAGGGAGGGGAACAATACCAACTACTGATGCTATTGCTCATTATACCCTTTGTTCGATTCTTTGCACCGCATTCAGCCTAGACAGCATTAAATGGGTGGGTGCGTGCGGAGAATTAAAGAACTAATTGTCTTTTCTTTCTTGCTATATTCAAGTTTTAACTCACTAATCTTTATCGTTAGTGACGGATTTAAACTAGAACAAAATAAATATGATAGAAATAGGTAGTTTGACTTGGTACAAAGTTTAAGAAGATTTTTCTTTTTGAAACTTGTGATCTTAAAAGTTTAAGGGATAAAAGTTTTGTGGGACCATGACATTTGCGTGGTTATAAAATTTCTCATTAAGGGTAAATGGTAAAATGAAGAGTTTAAAGTTGAATTATTTCCAAATTTAAAAATGTGTCATTTATTTAGGAACATACTAAAAAGGGTACCTCATCTAATTTGAAACGGGGAGTATATGTTTTGCATTTGACGCTAATCTAACAATAGACACTACTAAAAAACTGTCAAAAAGCGTCCAGAAAAACTGACCGAAATCGGTTGGAATCGAATAAAAATCGACCGATTTCCGACTGTTGTCAATTCGTCGAAAAAATAATGGTCGCTAACGTCTATCGACCGCATACGATCGATATTTCCGACCGAAGTTGGTCGGTAATTTTCAACGCACTTTGATCAAATATTCTAACATAAAATAAACTTACCGACCAAATTCGGTCGGTATTCTTAAAAATAATTTTTAATTATTTTTAAAATTAGCGACCAACTTCGGTCGGAATTTTAATTATTTATTTTTTAAAAATTGTTCAATTCCGACCGAAATCGGTCGGTATTATTAAAATATTTAAAATCAAAAATTCCGACCGAAGTCGGTCGGTATTATTAAAATATTTAATATTTAAAATCAAAAATTTCGACCTAAGTCGGTCGATAAATTTAAATTTCTGGGAAATCAATTGAACATTTCCGACCGACTTCGGTCAGTAGGCGGTCGATTTTCTAGGTAAGCTTTTGGTAAAATACTGCTGTTTTATAGTTGCACCACCTGCCAACAACCAATCATCTATAATGGCAGTATTACGAGCATGTTTGGACATAAGAAAAATTTTACTTTTTTTCGAAATTTTTTTACTTTTTTCCGAAATCAGTGTTTGGCCATACATGGATTTTTCCAAAATTTTTTTACTTTTTTCAAATTTTCACTTAATGATGGATTTTGAAATTTTTCAAAAATTTGAAAAACTCCAAAACGCTGTTTTTTAAAATTTTCACTTATATCACTCACAAAATTTAAAAAATAACCCATTCATGTCCAAACACATCTCTAGTTTTCAAATACCACTTTCACTTGGAAATTTTTTTCACTTTTTTCTGAAATTTTACAATTCTTATGT